CAGCACGAACACCAAGTGAGGTTGGACATCACTGAGCGTACCTACACGCCTTCGTGCAGCAAGGTCACAAAGCATGGAAAAGAAGGAAATGAAGGAACACACACGTGAAGTCACAGAGCTCGACCGGAAACACAAACAAGGAACCACCAGCACCGGAGCAGAAGCAGAGCCCTCGACAGTACTCTCCCTAGTTAGAAGCAGGACCGGTGAGTTTGGAACACCTTCGCGAGCAACATCTGAGGCAGCAGTTTCCACTGGCTCCTATTTAGGTCCATAGGGCAGTTCATTCTCCCCTTCTCTCATCCCCTCCGACTGTTGCGGAGTGTCATCATCGGGGATGTCAACCACTACCATTGCCTCCCCCAAAAGGAAGTCCCACGTTCTGCCTCTTGATCCGGCGTCGACCCGAGGAGCTAGCCTCAACAGACTCTACAAGCGGCAAATCTAGCCAGGAAAGTCGTCGTTTGGAGGCCGCACGAGTGTTACGCCGAGTCAGTCCAGTCAACGTCTCCTCCTCTTCCGTATCAGAAGGCAAAGGTTCCTCATGAGTAACACCACCGACAAGCGCGTCAATCAACACCTGACCAACGGGAGAATCAGACCCGGGCGGAGAGGCAACAAGAGGGCCGCAAGGGCCAAGGAACGATCGGAACTGACCGGTAGAGGGAGCGTCTCGTGACCTGCAAACGAGAAACACGCCAACACAGTTCATGAAAAACACAAGAAAACGACAATCCAAAGGGAGGGGGGAATGAGAGGTACTTACCATCCTTCTCAACATAGAACTGAGGCATCATCCCCCAAGCCCTCCAAGCAACACTCATCCCAACTGTAGCCAGCATATGATCCTCCTAATCCTCTCCATTGATGCAGATGGTCTTCAATTCTTGCGCCACAGTGGCACTGGCAGCCCACAGTTCTGGTGCTCGATCGGAAAAAGTAGTCAAACGAGGATAGCCAAAACCGAAAAGGTTGAGATTTACCTAGAGCCACCGGTCTTGCTAGTTTTTCTTTGGAGCTTTTTTGTTAGAGATAAAGGCGTGAAACACCCCCCCCCCTCTTGGAAAAAGTTCAAGCACTAGACAGAGTAGAAGAATTGAAGAAAGCTTTGAATGCCCAAAACTGTGGCAGAACTCCAAGGGTGCGACAAACGAGTTCAAAACCAACAATCTTGTTGACAACGTTCAGACTCAAATCGTCCATGTGGAAGCCATACTGACGCATTACCTCGTCGAAAAAGTCTGCCGTTGCCAGCCTCAGACCATCCTCGAAGATCATAATGGGGACTCCAACTTTCCCCTCCGGCGGACGAGAAATTATAGCCCCCTTTCGAGGGTATTCCACACCATGCTCAGGGAGGAAGCCAAACCGCTCTTGGAGACCGGTGAAATCGCTCGGAGAAGGAACGATTCTGGTATTGGGGCCAACCTTTATTCTTCGAAAAACAGAGAGAAAGAGGGAAAGAAGTAGCAGAAGTAAGAAGAAGTAAGAATAAAAGAGAAATCGACACAAACAGGGGAAGATTTAAATGCAGGTGTGAAGTTCAAGCGGTTATGATGATGGAAACCGCCTGTGCAGACGCTTCTGTCACGTCAAAGGTTATCAAAGATCCATCCCCACCAAAAGCGTGTCCAGATCTAAGCTAGAACAACTCAGCTACCCTAAGCAGACGCTGACGTCTACTAGCCTAGGGGACTTGATAACGTATCCCACCAGGAATACGTCAAACATAATGGAACCGTCAGTATGGTAGACGGTTTGGGCAAAGGACGGCGTATGTCTAGCGCCGCGTTCTCGCCCTCGCCCTCGCCCTCGCGATCCCGTATTCGTTCCTTGGCACCCAAGCGCCAAGGTTAGTGTCAGGACAAAATAGTACCAATTGCCTCCGAGAGCGACAGGTGTAGCGCTCAGGGTGCCTCTCCTGGAAAACCTGCACCAATAGCAAACAACCACTCACAGAGCACGATCTACCAATAGAAGGCCATCCGTCCCTGCCAAACCTGAAAAAGGTAGAAGATACTTTCGGGGATCTGTCCCCCTGACCATAGGTATAAAAAGGTTCCTTCTCCTCCAATAGAAGGGATCGAAAAAACACGACCCTTACACTCTTACCCAACATCTTTTCACCTTCTCTCTAAGAAACCAACTAACTTGATCGTCGAAGCCTCCTTCCGGGACTGCCTCCCGGACGACGACTGACGATCTTGTTTTCTTTGCTGTGATTCTCAAGCCCTTCATTCCATTCTTCAAAGAGATAGAGTTAACCCGTAGACATATCACAACAGTGTCACTATCGAAAACATATCTAATGAAGATGAAGACAATCCAAAAGAGAAGTCTCCAATCGAGTGGGATCTTCCTATCTTTCCAAATGGTCAATACTTTCCTATCTTTCCTCTCCTTTAAGTCATTAAACCTTAGAGTGATCCAATATATGAGGAAAGAAAGAGGCTAAGTGGTTTTTACTCTAAGTACCAGTAGAAGATCTATGGGTGTGGATGGTTAAGAAGAACAATTATCAAAACCAAAACTTTCTGATCTCTTCCTTTCAGAGGCACTATGTATTATGCTTTCGAACTGCATAGATCTGATGAACATGAACACTATCTCACCGAAGCAGGCATCCTAATTGCCAATCCCGCTGATCTATTGTACATTGCAAATGAGTTAAAGAGAAGAATTTCCGCCAAGGAATCAGCGAAGCCTGCTCTCATACCAATCTAAAACCTTTCTTTAAAGAACCTCCTTTGAAATTGCATCAATTGTTATGAAATAAACTTCTTATTCCTCTTCTATACATTGAAGATATGGATTCTCGCCTTGAAGGAATTGAAGATCGAGAATATGACATCACTGGCACTCCCGAATTTGGAGTTGTTTATGGACTCAAAGATACAGAAGAGAAGCACTTTTTCAGGCTAAGCTAGAAGCATTGTTGCTCTAATCCCTTCTTGAATAGCATCATGAACATTGCTCTAGAATCTCATGAAGCATCTGTTGCAACTAAATTGGAAATAATAAAGCAAATTAAATGGATGTTTGTTGTCAGAAGATTCTTCCAAAGGACAATTGATTTCCTGAACAACTCTTAAGATATCTAAATCATAAGCAGCTACGGTCACTTAGTGGAGATTGATGAACCTAAAAGTGACCCACTACAGAAGTTTATCAATAGATGATGACCGAAGTGTTGTGTTATCTGAAGTAAAGTGTCGTTCGAAGAAGAGCATCAGAGGAAGTTGACTTTAGTGTTTCGCCTTTTCGTATAAGCAATTATTAACTATTAGTTCATAAAGATGCTCGGTTATTAACTGTTTCAATAGATCTTTTATATATATATATATATATATATATATATATATATATATATATAATCTTGTGTCAGATGTTATTTATGAGATTATCTTTTTTGCATGTCTATAAAAGACGAACCGGGATGTGATTCTCCTTACACCTTTCATCATCTTTCTAGAAGATATTCATTGAAATCTAAGATTGCTCTTTGTTCATCATGTTTATCTATTTACGCATTTGGTCTTTCATTATCATTCTATATATCAGTTGTCAAGTTTATATATTTCGCAACTACTTTGTCTTTAAGTAAGATTTATCCTAGTTTATAACATAGCCTTTTGCCACTTTGTCGTAGCTATAGATTAGAACGTTCTGATGGATGAGAAATCATATATAATGCTAGCTTGAATACATACATTCCACTAAATGCACTACACAATAATTTTAATATACAATTAGACGAGATATTTGAAGATTATAAATAAATTTATATTTTGTTGATATATATATATATATATATATATATATATATATATATATATATATAATAATAATAGTAGTAGGTTGTAAATAAAATATATCATAACTAAAAGAGATAGAAACAGAAAAATAAAATATAAAATAAAGGACTAAAGATGTAAAAGGATGTAATATTGAAATATTAATAAATTATATTTATAATAATTAATGTTTTAAAAATCGGATTTTTAGTTGAACCGGTTTGGTGACTGGTTCCCGGTTCAACTGGTTCGATCATCGATTCAACCGATTCGACCGCCGATTCAACCAAATTTTTTTCTATATCTGGCGGTAGTGTGCGTCCGCCTTCGAGTTGTGTAAATTCCGAAAATGTTCAATTTTCTTTAGAAATAAGTTGTTTATCTAACAGGTTAAGTAAAATCCAACTATACAAATCCAATAAACCGGTTCAAACGACTTTTTACCGGTTCTGTTACATCGGTTCAACCTGAATTTTGAAGAAACCGTCCGGTTGGATCCGGTTAGAAATTGACATAAAATCAGTCATTATTAAACCATGCTCGTATCTGGTTCCCGATCCAATCGCTGCAGTTCGATCTGCCGGTCCGAATCGATTTTTAAAACATTTATAATAATAATCGTGACATAGATTTATGAAGTAGCCACCAAATTGTTACGAAAGATGTGAGATGCAAAAATAAATTAAAATATAATATAAACATTATTTATGTGGTATACCAATATAAAAGAAATATAATTTTATATAATTTCATGATTTATTTTATAGTTATTAAAAATAAGTATTAAATGGATTATTAAAAAAATATATAAAAAGATTATTAAAAAAAATAATAATGGAAAGTTATGATTGTCAAGCAAAATGGTCAGAGAAAATTGTAAATGCATAGTCAATTGACTCTATGACAATAATAGATGTGCCATTACCAACGAGTTGAAATCCTCTAAGCCACCAGCATCCCGTCGAGTCCAATGGTCAAATATATCCTTGGTTCAAAGGTCAAAGATCAAAGGTCATCCTTCTCTCACTATCTTTAAAAAAACCTCAATTTTTATTATAAAATTAAATTCAATATTGGTATAAATATATATTACTAATATAAACTATATGACTAAAATATCTATTCAATACTTTTTATTTCAAGATTTATGTCAGCTATTTAAGAACTATAAGTGTTCATTTAATTATTCTATGTTCAGCATTAACAATGGAACTCTCTTTTATTATTTTCATTGCTCTTACCACTCTCCTCTTCTTTCTTTTCAAGTTTGCCACTCGTCAAACACCCAAGAGAAAACTCCTTCCTGGGCCATGGGGACTTCCTATCATAGGACACATGCATCATTTAATTGGTACATATCTTTGTTTCGGTCTGTATATTCTTATATATGAATCAAACATGTTTCATTTGCAGTGTTAAATCCTAAGTGATCACCACTAGATCATCTTAATGATGGTTTTGTTTTGATCTCTACATATAAGGGCATCCACAATGCATTAAAATTGTTAGGGTTTAATGGATTGACACATCATCATTTTACTTGCTATACAACTCTATATTAATTTTCCTACAATGCATTGAACTCAATAGAGTTCAATGGAATATATATTTAATAGTTAAAAGGTTTCATTTTTCCCATGGAAGAGTTCAATGACCATTGACTCCATACCCATTGAATGTCAACATGACATCCTACAATGGTAGAGTTTAATGCATTGAATGCCAATTAGGCATGCCACCTCATTCAACTCTCCCATTGAACTATGCATTGTGGATGCTCTAAATATACTTTTAATTAATTGCATCCATGCATGGATAACGCATGTATTTTGTATTTTTGTTTTCTTATAACTAAACAAATATACATCTATTGACAAACGTATATAGGTACTTTGCCACATCATGGTCTTACAAACTTAGCCAAGAAGTACGGATCTTTTATGCATCTACAACTTGGTGAGATCTCCACAATTGTGGTGTCCTCCCCAAAATTGGCCAAGGAGGTTTTGACAAACTATGACTTAACATTTGCAGATAGACCCGAAAATTTAACTGCTGAGGTTGTCGTATATCATAGCACAGATATCGTCTTTTCTCCGTATGGTGAATACTGGAGACAATTACGTAAGCTATGCACCATAGAGCTTTTGAGTGCCAAGAAAGTGAAGTCGTTTCATTCTCTCCGTGAGGAGGAGTGTTGGAATCTTGTTCAAGACATTCAATCATCTGGGCCAGGGAGACCTATCGATCTTTCCCATAGAATTTTCAGCAGGATCGCATTAATAGTAAGTAGGGCTGCATTCGGTGAAGGACTAAAGGACCCAATATTGTTTTCAGATTTGATGAGGAAGACATTAACAGAAATGGGAGGTTTTGATGTGGCTGATATCTTTCCTTCCAAAAAATTTATTCATCATCTTTCAGGCAAACGTGCTAGGTTAGCCAAGATACGCAAAGCAGTTGAGAATATAGTTAACAAAGTATTTTCTGAAACCCTAAAAAAACAGTGCAACACATCCCATGAAAGCTTTCTTGATATTTTGCTAAGAGTCAAAGATAACACTGAGTTTCCTTTGACGATTGATAATATAAAAGCAGTCCTTTTGGTAAGTTTTCAAATACCAATATATATATATATATATATATATATATATATATATATATATATATATATATATATATATATCTATATATATATCTATATATATATATATATAGTTAAGTTCATGTAAGACCACTATATTTTGTGAGACAGAGAGACGCAATCTTAGCCACTCAGTTCGTAGATAAAAAAAAACATTTTTAAAATGCAAAATAATTGAAAACTTTCGAATTTTTTTTAAATATTGATTTCGTCACTTTTTTATCAAAAAAATAAAATAAAATAAAAAAATTACATTTTTTTGAAATATCTGTGAAATAATCTAGTAGAATTTTAGAATATTTTAGTAGAATATTAGAATATTTTACATATCTGACAAAATCTACTAGAATACCAGAATATTCTAACATTCTAAAAATCACATTGGAATATTTACAGTGTAAGATATTCTATTATAATATTTCACGTATTAAAAAAAACAGTAATTATCTTTATTTTTTTATTTTATTTTTATTTTTTTTAGGTAAAGAAAATGACGAAAATAATAATTAAAAAAAGAATTTTCGGATTTTTCCTTTTTATTTGCATTTTAAAATTATTTTTAGATTGCGTCTCACGGTCTCACAAAATTAACATGGTCTCAAATGAACGTAAACATATATATATATATATATATATATATATATATATATTATCGTATTACAAACATAATGGTTTAATAATTATATAATACAGGATGTGTTTGCAGCTGGAGCGGACACCTCAGCAGCGACAGTTGAATGGGCACTTTCAGAAGTGATAAGAAGTCCCAGAGTAATGGAGAAACTACAAACCGAACTAAGGAAATTGCTAAATGGAAAAGAAAGGATCCTAGAGGAAGATATCCGAGACCTCGGCTACTTAAACCAAGTAATCAAAGAAACGTTGAGGTTGCACCCTCCAGGGCCTTTGCTTATGGCAAGAGAGTCTAGGGAATCATGTTTTTTGGAAGGGTACGATATACCTAAAAAGACCAAACTTATAATCAATGCCTTTGCAATAAACAGGGACCCAGAATACTGGAAAGATCCTGAAAGTTTTATACCAGAGAGGTTTGAAAACAACCCTACTAATATGGTCGGTGCAGAGTATGAATATCTCCCATTTGGAGCTGGGAGAAGAATGTGCCCTGGAGTAGGCCTAGGTTTAGCCAATGTTCGACTCCCTCTTGCTAATATACTTTATCACTTCAACTGGAAACTTCCCAATGGAGAAACGAATGAACATCTAGACATGTCAGAGTGCTTTGGCGCTGCTGTTCATAGAAAGTCTGCATTAGTTTTGGTACCAATCATCGGTTAATACTATAGTCAATGAGTATCTATGAATCTCTAAGATCAAGAAATGTGCATGACCAATAAAAAACCATTATGATTGTAATATACTAAATAATTGTTTCTTGTGTTTCTCTAATTTTCGTTAGCTCTATCAATGCAATAATATAACTTTTTTGTATTTGGGTCATTTCACATCTATAATTATTTTCCAAGGTCACTACAATAAGATATTTTCTTTGATAAAATGGTTCCTAGTTCCATATCGTAAACTAAATTTTTATTTATGTTTCATAATTTTAATTTGTAATATGGGATATTTACAGAAAAGTCCCAAAATTTTGGAAAAAATTTTAAAAAAATCCTTATTTTTTTTTAACATAAAAGTCTCATTATTTTGAAAAAATCATATAATCTATTATTTGTTATTCAAATATAAAAAATGACTTTTTCGTTAATTTAGACAAAATGTTAAATAATTGAAACTTTTCTATTAAAAAAAAACTTTTACGACTTTATTGAAACTTTTTCCAAAATTTTGGAACTTTTCTGTAGATATCCCTTTGTAATATATATATATATATATATATATATATATATATATATAATATATATATATATATATATATATATATATATATATATTCTCAGTAATTTATAACCTTTATATATTAGGACAATTTGATAACTAATAACCAAGTTCAAATTAGTTTTAATTTGATATCTCAAAAATTTTGTAAGAGGTTCTACCATACAAATTTCATAGTTTTTTTATTCATTTTGAAATCTATTTCTCCTTCTACCTATTCTTCCGTTAACCCCTCATTAAAATAAGTTTATTTTGGAACTACAATCGAATGTATTAGCAAAAAAAAGCAAGGACTTCAGCGAGAAGCTCAATTCAATTACAATAAAAGTTCATAAATGGTTACAAATACACCAAACAAACCAATCACGATTGTTAAATTTACACCTACTTTAATCCAATTAAACGTGCTCATACTTATATCAATCGTCAAAAGCATTACCTCCTGCCTTTCGTTCCTACAGATAAATTTATTGTGTGCCTTCCAGATCATCTTTAAAGCTTAGTAGACAATAGACAAAATTAGCTTTTTAACATTTTACCACCTATACTAGAATTGAGAGCATCTCCAAAAGAATTGAATACGAGGAAGGTTGGTCCTTGAACATACCAGATCATTGCATCAACCACTTCCATATATGCACAACAAAACCATGATAATATATAAGTGATTGATAGTCTCCTTTGATGATTGATAGAACGGACATGATTTGGAAGAAGCATTAATCTCGCATTTTCATAAGTTAGTGAAAGTAGGGATTCTTTTTTTTGAACAATCTCCATGTAAAATAACTAACTGTTAGAGAAATCCACTTCACTCATTTGATTATGTTTGTTTGGGAATCTTTGTAGTTGTTCATAAGTTGCCACAACGCCTTTACAGTTAAGGAGTCAAAATTATCACCCTCCCAATGACATTTGGCATAGCCCTTGTTGAACTGGAATCACTCACCAAGTCAACCAAAACCATGAGTTAATTAGTCCCCCTTCCCATTCTTAATTGTTAACACCAATCCCAATTAAATCCACTATGATTCTATTCCAAGTTTTAAAATCACCCTTTACATAACCAAAAAATATGTGTTTCTCTCCAAATCATACAAATTGGGACAAAGATCTTTCAAAGCTAAATCGCAACACCAAATGTCTTTCCAAAAGTACGTCTTATCTCTAATACCCACCACCCTCTTAAACAAGTTATTTAATGTAATACCCATGTTTGCAATATCCATATCCACTTGTTATATATTGAACCAAACGCCATTTATAGATATTTTAGTTAAAGGATTCCCGTCAATGAGCTTGAGATTATGGATGGATTTTATACACGAGAACCAAAAGGAATCATTTCAAATTTTAATTTCCACCACCATTGGTGGAATCAAGACAACAAACACCACAATCACCCTTCTCTTTCGGTTTAATAACCACATCCCAAACAACCCAAAATATTTTCTTTAGTCATAATTACCTTCCCATAATAACCACATTTTAATACTCTCAAGATTGGTAATCGTCCTAGGAGCACAAAACAAAGAGATATAATAAATATGAAGACTCTTAAGAAAAAACTTCACAAGTGTGAGGCGCCACCAAACGATAAAGATTTCACTTTCCAATTTGAAAGACTAGCCTTAAATTTGTCCACCATCGGAGCTCAATGCCAAGCAAGTTTCATATTAGCCCCACTGGTAAACAAAGATAAATGAAAGGGAAATATGTGGGATCACATTTCAAAATACTATCAAATCTATCAATATCCACATTGTTAACACCAACAACAAAAACTTTCCTTTTATGTAAATTCACCTTTAACCCGATGCAAGGTACAACAAAGTAATCTATAGAGGATGAAAAAATCAATATTCGACCACTAATCAATAAAAGTTACATAATCAACATATATAAGATGAGAAATATCCATACCATTGTGAGGAAAAGAGATGCCTATAAAGTAGTAAAGGTCGCAAGCCGCCTCCATAGACAGGTGTACACTTTCCATAGTGAAGATAAAAAGAAACGGGTTAAGGGGGTCACTTTGTCTCACATCCTTTTTGATGTAAACCTGCTTAGTCGAAGATCCATTGACCAAGAAGAAGGCTCTACTAGAGGAAAGACATCCCATAACACATCTTCTCCACTTCCACCCAAACTCTATTTTCTTAATAATCAAGTCTAAAAATTCCCAAATTAAATTGCCAAATGCTTTTTCAACGTCCACCTTGAAAATTAATGTTTTTTCCTTTTATCTTCTTAGACCAAGAGAATATTTCATTAAGTAAAATTAGGTCATCTAAAATACTCACCCTTCTACATACGACATATGCTCGGGACGGTAATACATTCTTTAAACGATTATAAATAAATTTGAAAAGCACCTTGTATAAGCAACCAACAAAGTTTACCCACTTATAATCCTTCAATGATAAAGGGTATCGGGTTTTTGGAATTAGATATATAAAAGAGGAGTTGTTAGTATGTATATGTATGTACATGTATGGATGTGTATATATGTTCGTACATACATATATACATATGTGTGTATGTATGTATCTGCTTATGTGTATGTGTAACATCCTGTTCGGAGTCTTTCCATAGTTCGGGGCCGTGAACCGAAGATCAATTATCATAAGGTAGAAGGCTTTGGGAAAAGAGAGGTTTAGACCCTTTTGGATGAGGGTAATGTAGATTATGTGATCCAAGAGTTCGGTTTGTGTTTTAGAGCCCAATGGTATAATGGTAAAAGTGGTGGTTCAGGCCTTTTACGAATTAATAATTTTAGTTCGAGGTATTTTAAGTCAAAAGTATTTAGATAGGGCTGTATAGCTCCTCAATACCTTTCTATTGATATAAAGATCGTCGAAATCAGAGTTGAAACGAAGAAGTTATGACCGTTTTAAGTTAGGACGGTTTTGGGTTAAGCCGCGTACGTTGGGCGTACGGGGAAGTATGTTGGGCATACTAGGGTATCCCTGAGTACACTGGGCATACCAGGAGTATGCTGGGCGTACGCGATCAGTGCCCAAACATTATTTTTGTGGTTTGAACCATATTTAAGCTCTTTAACTTCCCCAAACCCATTCCATTCTCAGCCTCCACCACTCAAAAACCCTCCCTTGAAACCCTAACCCTAGTTTGAGCCTTGTGAGCAAAAAGAATGTGTTTTTAAGTGCTTTGGAGTGTTCTTGGTGCATCTTGGAGAAGAAGGAGCTCATTGGAGAAGTGTTGGTTGCATCGGAGCTTGTATATACAGACTTTGTTCACCTTGATCTTTTTTCTAGAAGTATAAAGTTTGAATCTTGATGATGCATTTGATAGATCTAGCTAGTCGTGGGTGTTATGAGCTTTTGGTCACTTTAATGCATAAAGTTTAGATCTTGAAAGTTTGTAACCTTGTTATGGATAAAGTTGGAAACTTTATCTATCTAAACATCATATTGATTCAGATCTAAAAGGTTGAGACTTGGACTTAATGCGTTAAGTTGGAAAAAATGTATTTTTGGTCCCTTTGAGATTTAAAGACTAGATCTTGGTTGGTTGGACCATTCTAATAGATAAAATTGGAAACTTTATCCATTATGGAGTTATGTCATCTTGATGGTTTTTGATGAATCATGCTTAAGTTGATGTTCATATTATGGGTTTAGCTAGATAAAAAACGGGTTTTGGGTCCCATTAAGACATGCAAAGGAGTAAAGTTGGCAACTTTATGGATTAAGACCTTATTTAGAGGTTAGATCTGAGTTTGGACATTTTATCCTTAAACATTAATTGCTTAATATGAAGTTTTGTTCATCTGATGAGTACGTTGGGCGTATGTATGCGTACGCTCAACATAATACATGAAGTCCTCGTCCATGAGCTTTAGTGAGTTGTACATTGTGCTTCAGTGGGCCGTACGAGTTGGGTACGCAGGGTCTTTTGGAGTTTTGGAGTTTGGTTCATGGTTTATTGCATCATATCTGAGAACGGTAAAATGGTCTTTTACCCATTGGAAGTAGAGAATATGGTTTGGGACCTTGGATTTTGGAAAGTTGTATTTAATTATTGATTAAGGATGTTTTGGTTGTATTCAGTGTGAGGATTTCGGTAGCATCAGCGCATGTGTTTTGGTTATCTCAGATTGAGGTGAGTTTTCTTACTGTAACCGTGGGCCGAAGGCACCAATGCCAGCCCATTATAATTTTATGTAGAATGCTAGTTGTCTCTGTGATACTTGCATGAAAGACTAGGATATGGCCCCTGGCACTTGTATGTAAGACCAGGATTTGGCCCTTGGCATTTCAAGGAAAGACCATGGGGGTATCCCATGACACTTGTATGTAAGACCGGGATTTGGCCATCTACATTGCAAGGAAAGACCATGGGGGTAGCCCATGACACTTGTATGTTAGACCGAGATTTGGCCCTCGATATTTCATGGAAAGACCATTGGGGAAGCC